ATTGGATCATGCTTTGCTAGGTTTTTTGCCTTCCTCTGGATCAACTGTGGGTGTAGGATTATAACTTTTTTTTTTAATGGTTGAACTGGATGGACTTTTGTCTTTTTTCAGCCAGACTAACTATGTAACTAAACAGGTGTGTGTTTATTTATTGGCAATACCCCACAGCCAGGCAAAAGGTATTTTACACTCGTGTTGTTACTTGTACTCACAGTGATTTTATTCAACCAGATGTGTCAGAGGGGCTGAGGTTGTTCCTGTAGTTGAGGCGCAGTAAAGGGAACTCAAAATTGCCAAGCAGCTGCTTCGGGGGTGGTGCTACACATATATATATACATATAAAGGTTTTTAGTAGTATATTTCACTCTCTGAGCTTTGCTGAGTTTAGATCAGGGCAGACTGACCATTCGGGTACTCGGGCACTGCCGAGGTCCCAGGGTCAGTAGGGGGCCCCATGAGATGCCCTTAGTACCTTTCATAGGCTTTTTTGGGTGTGGTTTGAGTGTGGGTGAGGACACAGGGGCCCCATGATCCCCTATTGCCCGGGGGCCCCATGAGTTGTCAGTCCACCCCTGGTTTAGATGCATTCAGTTTAGTATTGTTTAGGGAAAATAGAATTCTGCACATCCAGAAGCAGACTGGATACATCTAAACGCATATAAACGCACGTAAACACATTTAAATGCAAGTACATTTCAGTGCAAATGAACTTAATCTGGAAAGCATAAAGTTTGTTTATATGTCTCAGATCATTTCTCCTGGGTTTAGATAAACCAAATTCAGGAATCTAGTATGAATGTAGCGTGCTGGTACCTGTGGCCAGGATCCCAGGTGCTCCAATCAGCTGTGACTTCTTAGCATGGCTCACAGGACTCACAGTCCTCCGCTGCTGTAAGCATGTATCTGCAAATCCAGCAGTTGGGGACAAATGTCCACCTCTGGACACAATCTGTGTTACCCCAGGTTCACACCTAAGCGTTTTCTGCAGTGTTTTGCAGAAGTGCACTACAGTCCATTTAACAAGATTTCCTATGGGACACGTTCACGTCTCCGCGTTTTCACCCGGTGCGTTTTTTGGAAAGGGTCAGGGACTGTTTTGAATGCAAAAAGTTGCATTTTTGGTTCTATAGAATTCAATGGAAAGAAAAGCAGAATAACATGTAGTACGTTTTTGCTGCGTCTGTGCCACGTTTTTGGTTCGTTTTGCATTTGAATCTGCCTAGCAACCAGAAAAAAACGCATCAAAAGCACGTGCAAAAATGCAAAACACACTGCAGAAATGGATAAAACACAAACTGCAAAGGTGTGAACCTAGTCTTAAGCCTGGGTTCACACATATGCGGTGCGGTATATCATATGAGATTCACACAGGAACCGCACCGCATTCCTGTGCAAATCACATTTTGTATGGCTCAAATCGCACCACATCTGCACCAAAGAGGTGCAGGACCCTTTTTTTGGTCCGCACTAGAATCGGATTGCATGAGTATTCACACCCATGCGATCCAATTCTGCACATCGCACTGCATTCTGCGAACCAATTTTCGGATGTTGTTAACATACACACCCGCAGCGGTTCACATGAATGGGGTGCGATTGTGATGCGGTGCGGAGTTCGCACAGAAACCACTGTGAATTCCGCACCGCATGAGTGTGAACCCAGGCTAAGGGTTGGACGTTTATCTCTAACCGCAGGGAGAGCCACAGACCCTGTCATTCAAGGCTGAGCAGCCCCGGCTGAACGGATCACCTGAGATCCTAGGAAAACGCATTGCATGTGACAGTTTGGATCATGTGAATGAGGCCTAGGATATGTACAGTAATATATGCAACAAATCACCTATAATATTTCTGTATGTGTATATTATTTTATTTCTTTACCGGGTTATTTTTTACTTTTTTCCTGCCTTTCCAAATCAGCACAATTTAAAATGCCTTTTTTTCATGTAACGATTTTTGTGCAATCGCTTTATAATAAATGAATACAAAGGGGGCATTACTTCGGGGCGTTGTTATTTTCCTGTCTCTGAATAGATAGAGCCAGCTTTGCCCATTGATGACATTTTAAATTCAGGGCCTTTTTTTTTTTTTTAAATCACAGGATCAGCAATGCGACTCCTGAACATGTAATGATCTCCATACAAGACTGTACAGAGAACATGGAGAGAGATTGCTGTGAAATGACTGCGGTGATAAGTTGAGCGGATGTACTGAGCCTTGAGCTGCTGTACCCACAGAGCATGCACAGAAATCCTGTCCAAACCGGCTCCTACCGACTGCTCGCCTCTTCTACCAAAACAGCTGCCCCCACCCCCAGCAGCAGGAGAAAAGAGCACTGATTAGGGCCATGCATTGTGTATATAACCCCCTTGTATATACAGTGTAGAACACATTAAACACCTTTTCCTGGCCAGGATGATATATACAGTATATATAATTATTAACCAAAAGTTAATATGAAAAACATGTTTATGTGTAAGGAGGGGGGGGGGAATCAAAGCTCTACAGGAAATATAACATAGAATAATTCGTAATCACACCCTATACAACTGCTAATGGTGGCCATACACTTTTCAATAAATGATCACTTTCCTTTCTGATCAATCTCTTCTCATAGGAATATAGTCGACAACCCATTTGATTGATATGACACACACAGAGAAATGGATTTCATTTGATACTTTCATAATTTACAGATCATAAATGATCAGTCACCTCTGTTTCCACCATGTGATCACAAATGTTGATCAATCAAATCATATTCATGAACAAAAGACCTTGGTGCTGCTCGGTGCAGAATGTTTTGATTGAATCACACATTGATCGGATAATAAAATCGAAGCATACACTTCAATTTTGTTATCCGATCTGGAAAGCATATGCTTCGATTTTATTATCCGATCTGGAAAGCATACACTGCGATTTAATTATCTGATCTGGAAAGCATACACTGCGATTTTATTATCCGATCTGGAAAGCATACACTGCGATTTTATTATCCGATCTGGAAAGCATACACTTCGATTTTATTATCCGATCTGGAAAGCATACACTTTGATTTTATTATCCGATCTGGAAAGCATACACTGCGATTTATTATCCGATCTGGAAAGCATACACTGCGATTTTATTATCCGATCTGGAAAGCATACACTGCGATTTAATTATCCGATCTGGAAAGCATACACTTCGATTTTATTATCCGATCTGGAAAGCATACACTTCGATTTTATTATCCGATCTGGAAAGCATACACTTCGATTTTATTATCCGATCTGGAAAGCATACACTGCGATTTTATTATCCGATCTGGAAAGCATACACTTCGATTTTATTATCCGATCTGGAAAGCATACACTTCGATTTTATTATCCGATCTGGAAAGCATACACTGCGATTTTATATCCGATCTGGAAAGCATACACTTCGATGTTATTATGCGTTCTGGAAAGCATACACTTCGATTTTATTTTTCCGATCTGGAAAGCATACACTTCGATTTTATTTTTCCGATCTGGAAAGCATACACTTAGATTTTATTTTTCCGATCGGAAAGCATACACTTCGATTTTATTATTTGATGTAGGATTTGATGAAAACAATTTAATCTGATCTGATTGATTTAGGCTCGATTTAGATTGGATTCAATCAAACTGAGTTGGTTGACCAGTGTGGAAAATGATCAATTGCTTTGCATATGATTGTATTTCAGTTGATGAGAATATCACATCACATGGTGGAAACAGAGATCTGATCGATCGAAATCCACTTCCCCATGTGTGGCATATCGATGGAATAGGTTGGCAATTATTGATCGATTATTCCTCTTGGAATAGATCAATCAGTAAATAAAATCATTAATCACAGTGGCTAAATGGTTAGCACTTCCACCTGGCAGTGCTAGGGTCATTAGTTCAAATCCCAACCACAGTACCACCTGCCTGGAGTTTGCATGTTCTCCTTGTGCAGGTTTCCTCTGGGTGCTCCGGTTTCCTCTCACACTCCAAAAGACATTTTTTTTTTGTTGAAAAATATACTTTATTTTTTACATAAGTATAAAAAAAACAAGATACTTTAGTCGGGGTACACCTCAACCTGTACTGTGACGCAGCGCTTAATACACCACATAACATTACAGTTCCAATCGTACAATAAATACATTCACTCAGCGGTATGATGCCTAACGTGGTGTACACGCCAAATTCCCCGGACCATCACGTCATGCATGACACCGCTTACCCCGAGACTGGTTGTGGCCCCCTAAGGTTCCACCAGAGTATCCTGGTAGTGCAATGTCAGATGTGCAGTACCTGGGTCAGACCCCTGTCCCACACATCCTACATGGTACCGCAACATAGCATGCAAAAACATTGCTGAAAAAGACAATTCAAACAAGCATCAGGTGTGTTGGGGGGGTAGGAAGGAGGGCTTGGTAGGTTAATTGGATCCTGTCTAAATTGGCCCTAGTATGTGTATGTATGAATGTGAGTTAGGGACCTTAGATTGTAGCCCCTTGAGGGTTAGGGACTGATATATATATATATATATATATATATATATATATATATGTGTGTAAGGTGCTGTGTAAATTGACGGCGCTATATAAGTGCCTGTAATAAATAAATAATCGATACATGTATGGCTACCATAACATGCGTTTAGAACTCGGAAATTGAATGTATTTATTCTCCTAGATTGTAAGCTCCAAGGAGCAGGGCCTCCTAACCCTCTTGTATTGAACTGTATTGTTGCTGTATTGTCTCCCTTTATATTGTAAAGCGCTGAGCAAACTGTTGGCGCGATATAAATCCTGTATAATAATAATAAACATTCTACATAGAACACATGTGTCAGGTCCCCTCCTCCCAATCCCTGCAGTGCTGACGTTTCCGGCTCCGAGGTCCTCCCTGTGTGATGGAGGAGGAGCAGCTGATGTGAAAAACAACTCTGAACAACAGTACTGACACTGGAGAAAGAGCCAGATACACAGCACAAGCGAGATGTTCTTCCATCTATGGATCCTAATGCTGGGCTGCCGGCTCATCTGTGGCACGCCAGGTACCATTTTTTCTTTACACATATTTATTTACATCTGCATTCTTGGTTATTAGTACCTGATTTTAGTATTTTGATCAGTGTTAATGTTTTAGGATAATCCATATTGGGTATGGAGGACGGTGATTATTAATACACATAAAGGGAGTTGATCACCCCAATGCATCGCAGTCATTTTCAGTGCCAACTATGAGCAATGCATGCAGAGGTGCAGATCCATGCATACTGCAGCTGTACATTATTGCAGAGTATGGTATGCACACATGCAGTAGAAACACAATTCTGCATGATCGTGTATTGTATTTTATTATTTTGTGTATTATTTTTGTATTGCACACTGTTGATCGCCATTTAAGTTTTAACTCCTTCTTTCCAGCGTGTCACGCTAGTCACATGACCTTGTTTTTCTGTATGAGAAGAGGAGGTGCAGAACATTCGCCCTCCACCCATTCACTAGTGAATGGATTGGATGGGGCTGTTGTTGAGCTCTTTCTGTACTTCTTATTGGAGGAGAAGTTGAAGCTTTTGTCCCTGTTGCAGTACAATGGGGACTTTAAATGGCAAGCAGCACACCTAACCGCAAATTTCCTGCCCTATACTCTTGAAGAAAAGCTATATTACCTGTTTTTGTATATGTTCAGGCTTAACAAGCAGGTTAGTTATGTTTATAGAATACATGCTGCCTAGGAATGGAATTGACCCAGGTAGCTTTGGATATAGCAGTCTCAGACGTTTTTGGCACAAAGTGTGGCTGTTATCGTCTTTCAGTTTGTTTTTTTTTCTAGTTATGTAGTTGTTTACAGCAATGCAACATTTACCATTGTAGAGAAGTGGTGCACAAATTAAAGGAGCAATTACAGTAAAAAAAGATACATATAAAGTGATGGCAACAGGGGCTGATATATAAAATGTAGGGTATTACTTATGAAGGTTTCTGAACAATATGGTTGGGTGTCTGACCTCCTTTGGTGGTGCTAAAGCTGTGCAGGCAGGTGAGTAAGTGTTTAAGGGTGGTCCAGGTATTGTGGAGAACATGAGGAGGATGCATGGGTTATCAGTTGCACCAAAGTATAGGAAAGTAAGAAAAGAAAGGTTAACAACTGAAGATTGGTTAGGAACAGTGGGATGTTGGATGATAGGATAGTAGGGTTTGGTGGAAGAAAAACAGGGGCTGATATATAAAATGTAGGGTATCACGTAGGAAGGTTTCTGAACAATATGGTTGAGTGTCTGACCTCCTTTGGTGGTGCTAAAGCTGTGCAGGCAGGTAAGTGTTTAAGGGTGGTCCAGGTATTGTGGAGAACATGAGGAGGATGCATGGGTTATCTGTTGCACCAAAGTATAGGAAAGTAAGAAAAGAAAGGTTAACAACTGAAGATTGGTTAGGAACAGTGGGATGTTGGATGATAGGATAGTAGGGTTGGGTGGAAGAAAAACAGGGGCTGATATATAAAATGTAGGGTATTACTTATGAAGGTTTCTGAACAATATGGTTGGGTGTCTGACCTCCTTTGGTGGTGCTAAAGCTGTGCAGGCAGGTAAGTGTTTAAGGGTGGTCCAGGTATTGTGGAGAACATGAGGAGGATGCATGGGTTATCAGTTGCACCAAAGTATAGGAAAGTAAGAAAAGAAAGGGTAACAACTGAAGATTGGTTAGGAACAGTGGGATGTTGGATGATGGGGTAGTAAAGTTGGGTGGAAAAAAAAACAGGGGCTGATATATAAAATGTAGGGTATTACTTATGAAGGTTTCTGAACAATATGGTTGGGTGTCTGACCTCCTTTGGTGGTGCTAAAGCTGTGCAGGCAGGTAAGTGTTTAAGGGTGGTCCAGGTATTGTGGAGAACATGAGGAGGATGCATGGGTTATCAGTTGCACCAAAGTATAGGAAAGTAAGAAAAGAAAGGGTAACAACTGAAGATTGGTTAGGAACAGTGGGATGTTGGATGATGGGGTAGTAAAGTTGGGTGGAAAAAAAAACAGTGGCCAGAATATCCAGTGCCATGGCTCAATGGTATAGTTATTTCAGAGGGACAGTAAAGGGTTCATATTATCCAACCAAGGATAACCATACTATATATTAACCATAATATCCAACCATATTTTGAGGAATTTAGAATGAGAGTCATTAAGTGAGTTTCTCGTGTGTATTCTAGTACCCATTACTCTCTGCTTGACCTCATGAAGTTTAGAGTTGGTTGTTTCCATTGTGTTTGCCAAGGTTGTTATTTTCTTCAGCCTGTACAAATTCGGTCTTTTACGGCACTGCCAGGTTCCACTTCCAGGTTGGCCACCACGGCCACCATTAAATATTCAACACAGTAGGTGAGGGACCATAAAAAGCATTTGTTTTAATGGAATAAACTACTGTATGTAGCAGAGTCTTCTGCATAAGACGAGTGGTCACCATGTTACATATTTATCTTGAAAATTACATTTTTCTACATAAAGAACACTACCAGTGGATGTAGTGAACATTTATTTCTTCAGAGATTTCTAGCTCTTTATGGGGCAAGGAAATGTATCTATCCTGGATTATTTTTTAGGATGTTGCTCAGATAAAAGTTGCTAAAGCTCATATAGGTTTTATATTGGACCATGTGAAATGTGATAAGCTACACTCTGGGTATTTTCCTTGCTGAAGGGCTTGTTTTAAGTTCCAATACAAATAATTTGAGGAGATTGCAATTTAACAAAAAAAATTGCCTATATTATGTCAACCCTAACTTACATTCACAGGAATGTTTTCCTGAGCCCAGTCTAGTTCCTCAGCACATCATGGACCCGCTTGTCCCCTTCCCAAATTTCTCAGGCAGTAGGGGCTTTTTGTTTTGCAAAAAAAAATTTGATTTCAAAACTTCTACACCCTCCATCTACGGATCCTTGTATATCAGTTTCACAGACAGAAGTTCCTATCAAGCATCAGCCCTAACTCGTGTAAACAGTCATGAAGCAAGACTCAAGGTTCTTGGCTGCAACTGCATTGGCACTGCGCACAGGAGAACTGGTTTTTCTCTGAACTGCCTCTCCCTATTTGCTGCGCCAAAGAGTTTTCCAGGGCAGCTGTGACTTATCTTTAGCACAGCTGAAGCAGCAAGCCACATTTACTTCCCTACAGAATCTGCAATATTAAGGCAGTAGAGTTACCCCAATTATGGCACTAATGGGGGAATGGGAGGGAGGGGGAAAGGTCATTCTCCATACTATATTACGTACATGATCTGGTGCTTCTGGATGTCTTATTTTTTTCTTTAATTAGAAGCCACAACTTTTATAGCTGAACTCCAGGTACACAAAATGTATTTTTATATGTTTCTCAATAGCCAGAAAGGATATAAATCCATTTTGCAAACCAAGGTTTTACTTTGTAAAAGTAGCAGTGACATCATGGTGCTGTACATGGTCTGTGCTGAGAGCAGGCCCATGAGAGAGAACAGAGCAGGCCCATCCACTACAGTCTGACTGCAGAAAGCTACAGCAGGGGGCAGAGACAAGACCAGTCACTTTGCATATGGAGTGAGACCAGCAGTGACTGGTCTTTATTACAGGAAGCTCCTGCACAGTGCAAACTTTCATGATCTTTTACTGGTAAAATATGGAAAGCAATGCACAAAGCACACCAAGATTCAAGAACATATTTGCTTATGCCAGAGTTCAGCTTTAAAATTCACACTTAACCTGTAATCATCTCAAATTGGTTACATCGCTGACATAAATCAGGATTTCAGCAAACCTTACAATCGGGCAGTGTAGGAAAAGTCAAGTTCAAGTTGAATTATTTAAGAAGGCCCTCTTAAATAGAAGGTATTTCTGTGCCTCATTCCACACACATCCAAAAAAATAAAAATTGTTCCTCATTTCAAGATAGTGGGTGGAATCATGTAAATCATTGCTTTAGATTCCATTGGCCAGAAGCACATCCCTAAACACAAAGTATAGTGCAAACAGAGCCTGATATTGTAGAGCCATTTATTCCAAAAACTACATACAGCTGTTTTGTTGTGTTAGGCGCCATGCAAACTAGCGTTTATTTTAAGCTCGAAAACCGCTGGATAAAAAAAACTCTAGTAATAGTGGTTTTTAATAGCGTCCAGAAGCATTTAGGAACGTTAGCGTTTGAACAGTACATGTAAAGGAAAAAAAAAAGCTAGAAAAAAAGCGGTTATGAGTGTTTTGGTAGCGTTTAGCGTTTTTTTTTTTTTCTGCTGGAAAAACACTCAAAAAAACTACAAAAACAATTTTTTTCTGATTCTAGACGCTGAAGCTCAAAAAGTGCTAATAGCTTAAAATAGTGTGCATGGACACACAAGATAACTATTTAGCTTCTTAGAGCAGAAAAAAATGCTAATAATTTCTAGGAGCTTAAAAAAACACTATTGTGCACGGAGCCTTAAGCCCTGTATACACAATAAGAATATCAGATGAATGATCTGGTTGTTTTTTTTGCATTCTAGTCTCATCAAAAATGAAGAGGGTACTAAACTTACAAAAGAAAAGAATTTCTAAAGTGATGTCATGTATTGTATTTTTGGATGACTACTGTACTGATTAAACGAAAATCGAGAAATTTTCACGCTTGTCCCTTCGGATATTGTCGAATGAATTGTGATCGGCTCTCGAAAGCTGTGTACTAATGATCAGATTATCGGTCGGTCCTCTTACGAAAATTTTTGTACAATTTTCTTATCGTGTGTACAGGCCATTAGAGTGTACATAAGCAGCTAATGTCTCCCATGTCTTTGGTATTTGCCTCTCATATTAAGTCTGGCATGGCACTAACTATATTGTCTTTATGATTTACAGCACCATCAAACGATATTCCAGAGGAAACGCCAGCACCACAGATGACACAGAATCCAGAGGACTCAACAACTCTCTCCAATGAACCAGTGCAACCTCCAGAGAAAGTCAATGTGGCACAGCCTGTGATCAGCATCAGTGAGAGAGTCATGGTCAAGCCTCGTGAGAAGAAGGACCTTGGCACATTAGGTAGACATTTCTTCTAAAATCACTCCAAAACACAGTTACTCTGACTTACTGCATTTTGATATTTGAATTATTACATAGGCGAATGGAGTAATCCCATGAATAGAGATATGAGGGTTTATGAGACATAATGATACAATCATTCATTTTATAAAACCTTGACTAACAGCACAGTTTATAGAAGAATTTATTTACTAGCTGGTAATAGGCGTTCTGCCTACAATTAACAATATACAGTAAAAAATGGTCATGTTCACCATTACCTTGATCCAGCATAAGAATTTGCCATGTGTAGTTTACTATACAATCGGGCAAGTCTTTGGATCAGTGGTATTAGGTCTTCAGTTAGAAACTGGGGGCACACTGCTCTAGCTAGGCTCACTGGGAATATATCCCTCTGCTGTGTCTCAGGGTGCCAATCTGATCTAACAGTGAAGAAAGGGCAAACCCAGATACTCCTGTGCTTAGGGATTATTTATTTATTACAGATACTTGTATAGCGCCGTCAATTTACACAGCACTTTACATACAGTTGTGTCCAAAATTATTCAACCCCCAATGCTGTAAAGGGGTTTAGGGACTATAGTGTACATTTGGAATTGTATTCAGAATCAAATCCTACAAGGACGTTGTAACTACCCAAATGCAACTAAAATGACATCAATTGTTTATGTAATACAGTAGTAAATGGTTCTTATGTGGTTTCTTCATTGCCACAATTATTCAACCCCTTAAAGACTACCACTCTGAAGAACAGAGGTTCATACAGGTGCTTTCCATCAGGTATTGAAAACACCTGTGGATGTCACCGAGCAGCAATCAAGCATAATAAGCACCAATTAGGCAGCTTTAAAATGACTGTGATACTCAGCTCCTTCTAGACATTTACTGGTGTGGTTACAAACATGGTGAAGGCAAGAGAATGGTCCAGGAAGACAAGAGAAGAGGTGATTTCTCTTCACAGGAAGGGCAATGGCTATAAGAAGATTGCAAAGATGTTAAACATACCAAGAGACACCTTAGGAAGCATCATTCGCAAATTCAAGGCAAAGGGCACTGTTGAAACGCTACCTGGTCGTGGCAGAAAGAAGATGCTGACTTCGACTGCTGTGCGCTACCTGAAGCGTAGAGTGGAGAGAAGTCCCCGTGTGACTGCTGAGGAACTGAGAAAAGATTTGTCAGATGTGGGTACAGAAGTTTCAGCCCAGACAATAAGACGCACACTGCGTAATGAAGGCCTCCGTGCCAGAACTCCCAGGCGTACCCCCTTGCTGTCTCCAAAGAATAAGAAGAGTCGACTGCAGTATGCCAAAAGCCATGTGGACAAACCACAAAAGTTGTGGGATAGTGTTCTGTGGACTGATGAAACAAAATTAGAACTGTTTGGGCCCATGGATCAACGCTATGTTTGGAGGAGGAAGAACAAGGCCTATGATGAAAAGAACACCTTGCCTACTGTGAAGCATGGTGGAGGGTCAATCATGCTTTGGGGCTGTTTTGCTTCTGCAGGTACAGGGAAGCTTCAGCGTGTGCAAGGTACCATGAATTCTCTTCAGTACCAGGAGATATTGGATGGAAACGTGATGCAGTCCGTCACACACCTGAGGCTTGGGAGACGTTGGACCTTTCAACAGGACAATGATCCCAAGCATACCTCCAAGTCCACTAGAGCATGGTTGCAGAGGAAAGGCTGGAACATTTTGGAGTGGCCATCGCAGTCACCAGACTTAAATCCGATTGAGAACCTCTGGTGGGACTTAAAGAAAGCAGTTGCAGTGCGCAAGCCTAAGAATGTGACTGAACTGGAGGCCTTTGCCCATGAAGAATGGGCGAAGATACCCGTAGATCGCTGCAAGACACTTGTGTCAAGCTATGCTTCACGTTTAAAAGCTGTTATAACTGTAAAAGGATGCTGTACTAAGTACTAAGATTGAATGTCACTTGGGGGTTGAATAAAACTGATAATGCTGTGAGCACAGAAAAGACATTTGTGGTTATTTCATTATAACTGTTATGTTATATTTGTCTGACCTACAAGTGCCTCTTTAATGTAAATGTAAGCAAGATGACTGAATGATCAAAAGCAATGTCAAACTGGCCAAAACACTCAATTTCAGTGGGGGTTGAATAATTTTGGACACAACTGTATATATTGTACATTCACATCAGTCCCTAACCCTCAAGGGGCGTACAATCTAAGGTCCCTAACTTACATTCATACATACACATACTATGGACTTTGTATAGAGATGACCTCACGGATTTCTTGGTATATGCACGCCTTGCTGCCCTCAAAAGACTGGGGAAGTCCAAATATACTGAATAGAGAAAAACAAACAGAGGGCGCACCGGCCTAGTGCATTACCTTAAAAAATGTATTCATTAAATGATAAAATTAGGTATTGTACTCACAAAGGCTCTGAGGAAGAGGCAAGTCCTCGAAATGCATCAGCCTGTTGGAGGTCCAGAGTTCCCATTACGGACACTTCGTGCACATTGGACAGAGCTATTCTTTCACAATGTGCCTTTGACTGTATTGTCATTTTGTGAGTACAATATCTAATTTTATTATTTCATAAATACATTTTTAAGGTAATGCACTAGGCCGGTGCACCCTCTGTTTTTCTCTATTCTGCCAATCTGGACTGCAGCCAATTGTACAGGGAAAGGGAAGGAGGATGACGGCACTCCTAAAAAGCAAAATGATTATGATCAAGCGCAGATTGGGTTAATTGATGTTAATTGATGTGATGTTCCCTGTTTGGGGAGTTGTTGGTGTTATTTTTTAGGCCATATAACTGAATAAATTGCACGAGATTATTTTATTTTATCAGGAGTGCCGTCATCCTCCTTTCCTTAATTCTGTCTACAGTACTCAGCAAGAGCCTCTCTAACCCAGATTTGTTTAAGCTGGTCATAGATGGAATTTCCAACAACAATTCTTTGGAATGACAAACAAATGTTCTGAGAATTTTCACATGAATTTTCCTAAGATTTCATTTGATTTTTCAATGAATAGACTTTACCAAACGAAAACCACATAAACGGTTAGAAATTTGTTCATTTGAGAAAATGTTTCTATCCTGCTCCTTTGAGTGTTCTCATTACTGCGGTTGTTAATGAATATCAGTTTGACCCACTAATGATTAGAAAAATGACCAGACTTTCTTAGAACCTTATTTTCCCCAAAAACATTTCTTTGAAATGCCTTCCATCTATGGCAAGCTTTACAGAACTCCAAGTGACTGGAGTCAGCATATGCAAGGATGTTGAGCACTTCAGTTGAAACAGTTAATGAGAAAAAAAAAGGGCATAATCCTGTTGCCCTTGAATTCCATTGCAGCTCCTTAAAAAAATTTAAAAAATTCTACGCCGTTTTTCTCTAAATAGACTGATGTAATCAACAATGATTTGTAGACACCTGCCATATAGGACTGAGCTCCTTGGGTTCTAAACATCTGCGCTCATAGGGTTTGTTATTAGAAAAGAGGGAACATGCCAGCGACTTCGCTAGATATAGCTACATAGTTAGTCTGGCTGAAAAAGACAAAAGTCCATCCAGTTCAACCATTAAAAAAACAAAACAAAATTATAATCCTATACCCACAGTTGATCCAGAGGAAGGCAAAAACCCCAGCAAAGCATAATCCAATTTGCTCCTGCAGGGGAAAAAAACTCCTTCCTGATCCCCCGAGAGGCAATCGGATATTCCCTGGATCAAATTTACCTATAAATGTTAGTATCCAGTTATATAGCACATTTGTAAGACAAAACAAAGCAATTTTATGCTCTGGATTCTCACAATGATATTCCTTCTATAATTTTTTTTTTTAAACTTTCACTTCACAGGTTATGTCCTTGGGATCCTAATGGTGGTGATAATTATAGCCATTGGCAGTGGCATTGTGGTTGGATACGTATACAAGAGGTCAGTAGTCTGCTTGCAATGGGTAATGGATTGATCTGCATTGTCTGTTTAAGATCGCTCATGAAGTCTGTATTACTTGAAGTATGGAAGTGATCATTCCTCCTATTATATTTTTTTTCCTGTAGGGGTAGAGATCTGAAAAAGCAGCATGAGCAGCAATTGGAAGAAAGGCGGCAACAGAGGATCAACTTACCGCTCTCTGCTTTCTTGAATCCAACATGTGACATTATAGACGAGAACCCAACAGAGGTATCCTCCAATCACACCCCCAATACAATACAAGAGGGTGTTGTACCCCTAATAAGCAGTGCTGGTACCCCAGGAGCATGAAGGAAGGCACAACCCTATGTGGACATCAGTGTGGATCAACAGTACTCCTTTGTTGTGGAAATGCCATTTTATCATGCTGTGGCACAGGCCGAGTGGACTATCGAAGGAGCGTTGTATTCATTACCTACATTATCTCATTTGGATAGAATGGGCATGGATTTCTACATATCTGGTGCAAACTGATCAGTTGGTCAGTGTTTTTTTGCTTCCAAAACCAAGAAATGATTACTGTAATTGCCCTTTTAGCTCCTTTATCCTGATGTGGGGTTTCGTACAATCCAAGTGGTGGAAGTTGGCTGCCAGTGGCAGCTTCTGTATTGCTAAAGATGAAGTCATGTAGATGCCAAGAAATAAGTATAAAGCTTTCTTGGTAATCGACTGCAGGCTATGATAGAGGTGGATACTGTGCTCTACCACATCCTTTGTCTTGGGTGTGTACAGTGAAGCCCATCTGGTAACCTGCAGTACAAGTTTCTTCCTAAAACATATGTCACAATCTTTTCTGAGACCAGGGTTCTTCCTCTTATGTGTGCTGCTAAGGTTTTTAAATGGACAGAGACGGATGTACAAATTGTAAGAAAATTGTTTATTGGCTTTTTTTTTTGTACATGAATGTTGCATTTCTATAAATAAAGCATTATCAGGCAGCGCCTGATGATTAAAACCAGTCTTGTGTGAATCCAGTGGAGTTAGCGGTGAATGATCAACAAATTTAAAATATAGAAAGCAAGCAAATTGCAATGACCTCTGTCAACCACATATATTTCATTGTTCCTTTTTGTATTCAAAACACAAATAGCACAGCGGGCCAGGCTTATAGGCTTCATTCACAGTGGTTTCCAAACTGCAGCCAGATTTGGCCCTTTGCTCGCCTTTATCCAGCCCTTGGGGCCCTATTCCTCCCACTGATATGACACACTATTCTGCCAACTGATGCCAACAATGGGGCACCATTTTCCCCACTGACACCAAAGATAGGGCTCTATTCCTCCCTCTAATACCAAACGTCGCAAGGATTACTCCCGTTGATGCCAGGAAAATTTCCACTCCCACTAACCACAGTCCAGCCCCTAAAGACTGAAGGACAATAAATGGACCCTTTGTTTAGAAAGATAGGAGACCCTTGCCATAGGCGCATTCAGATATCCTACGTGAATTGCAGACATATTTTCATGCCTGGGAGAGACACCTGCAGCATACAGCCTCACATAGTAATGAACAGGTATAGCCCACGATTGCATAAACTCATGCACAAGGAGAAATCCTAGAATACACAAAACCACATTCCAGGCTTTACACCTGTCAGTTAATTTACACAATTATGGCATATACCTAGCCTACAGCCATTTATTACTATGGCGGCTATATGCCACAGCTGGCAAGGAAAATACACCCATGCCGAATGCCTAAATGCATCCACATGCATGAGACTCTAGAGCAAAGCCAAATACAGAAACTCCAGACATCATCTAGTCCTGCCCTTAAGTAGGATGGCAACTTAAGAGATTGTAACCATTGCAGCCATTGCCAAAAGTAAAAGGGACCCACAACTACTGATAGAGACATTTCACAGGTAAGAATCTGAATTCTAATGCTGGTGTTAAAATGGAAGTATGAGGAAACCACTACCCGCACACTTAGCTTTTGGGGAATATATGTAGCCAAGCACTTTGTGAACTGACGCCATTTTAATATTTTATAGCTGATGTACAGCTAACAGAGTCATGAGATTAATTTTAATTTACCTTTAAATTTAACACTTGTGAAAGTCCAGCTGCTTTATTTCCCTATGTTCAGTGTTGGGTGACTGAGCTGCTGTCAGACATGTGACTAATCAAAGAGAAGAAAAGCAGCAGATCTTCCAGTGGCTGCCTCCTCAGATGTGACGGGAAGTGGGGGGAACAGCAAAGAACGGCTTTAACAACTAAGCAATGGACACTCCTGGAAGTTTCAGATACCAGTTAGATTTTTAGCACCAATCAAGCGCTAGATAATCGACAATTGTCCTGCAAGTATGTACTTTTTTTTTTAGCTTAACTGATAGCTGAGATTATTTTATTCAATGTAATTTAGGTGTCTTTTTAACCCCTTACATTCAACAAGAGGCAGGGTAAGTGGTGCTACTGTGGGCTGGCACTTGCTGGAAAAATTCCTAACTCGCGTTCCAATGACCAAACAGGAAGGGGAGTCACCCCAACAAAGTCACAGACGGCAATTAAAAAAAAAAAAAAAAAAAAAAAAGCTGACAGGTTTTAAGCCTTTCCTAATCTATCCAAAACAATTTTTTCTGAAGCTCCAAGTTAATGAAAACTCCAAATGCCCTCCTGATAGAGCTGCCTTTCAGGAAACTCCTACATCTTAAAAAGACGCAACCATTCCATAGCTCACCTAGAGTGCCACCTGCTGGTGAATCAGACACATGCACTGTAAGACAACCACGTTTTAGAGTGAACCGCAGGTCAAGGGTTCAATTTACTAAAGTTCAATGGAAAGAGATTCCTCTGTGAATGGAGGATCTAATAGGAGTTTGTTAAAAATGGAAATTCCCTTTAAATGAACACACATATTAAAGTGTATCTAAACCCAAAAACTTAATATATTGCCATTGGTCCTTAAATGAGGTGGTTTATTTTTTTTTCTACCTATTTTACTTAATTTTTTACCCAGTAATCTTGTTAATGACACACTTTCTGTCCCTTACTGCAACACTAATTTCTCCACTGTACCTATGGGACAACCACAGTTGCCATACAGGCTAAACGTCAGACATGACTGTCTTGGCTCATCTCCATAACACGGTGGTTTCATGGAAAAGGAAAGGTAGTTTACAAAAGAAAGGTCATTTTTTGCTCTCTCCATAACACGTGGTTTCATGGAAAAGGTACAAAAGAAAGGTCATTTTTGCTCTCTGTTGCATGCATTTTGGCAGGAATTGGTATTTTCACAGGAACTCAATTGGTATTTTTCTGTACCTGCAGGGCCAACAAAAATTAATGCAATCACCACATCTATGCATGGGCATGTTGCAATACATTACATTTTTGGGTTATAGGCTTTAAAACTCTCTAAGGTTTCATGTACATTGGCATGACAACAGCTCCCAAACCCAATGACAACAGCTCCCAAACCCAACTCCATAAGAGCCTACAGTGGACATAAAAAAAAATCTACACACCCCTGTTAAAATGCTAGGTTTCTGTGATGTAAAAAAAATGAGACAAAGATAAATCATTTCAGAATTTTTTCCACCTTTAATGTGACCTATAAACTGTGCAACTCAATTTAAAAACAAAACTGAAATATTTTGGGGGTGGGGGGAAGGGAAACATAAAAAACTAAAATAATGTGGTGGTATAAGTGTGCACACCCTCTTATAACTGGGGATGTAGCTGTGTTCAGAATTAAGCAATCACATTCAAAATCCTGTTAAACAGGAGTCAGTACACACCTGCCATCATTAAAAGTGTCTCTGATTAACCCCAAATAAAGTTCCACTGTTCTAGTAGTTCTTTCCTGAAATTTTCTTAGTTGCATCCTACAGCAAAAGCCATGGTCCGCAGACAGTTTTCAAAGCATCAGAGGGATCTCATTGTTAAAAAGGTATTAGTCAGGAGAAGGGTACAAAAGAATTTCCATTAGCCATTAGATATACCATGGAACACATTGAAGACAGTCATCATCAAGTGGAGAAAATATGGTGCAACAGTGACACTACTAAGAATTGGACGTCCCTTCAAAATTGATAAAAAAACAAGAAGAAAACTGGTCTGGGAGGCTGCCAATAGGCCTACAGCAACATTAAAGGAGCTGCAGGAATATCTGGCAAGTACTGGCTGTGTGGTACATGTGACAACAATATCCCATATTCTTCATATGTCTGGGCTATGAGGTAGAGTGGCAAGACAGAAGCCTTTTCTCACGAAGAAAAAAATCCAAGCCCAGCTAAATTTTGCAAAAACACATCTGAAGCTCCCAAAAGCATGTGGGAAAATGTGTTATGGTCTGAAGAAACCAAGGTTGAACCTTTTGGCCATAATTCCAAAAGATGTTTGCCGCAAAAACAACACTGCGACCCGAAAAATAAATTTGTTAAAGGGGGTTAAAAAAATTTTTTTCAAAAAAAAAAAAGGCAATTGAAAGCATATAATGATTATTAAAAACAAAAAAGTTGCCCCCCTTTCAAAAGATAAAAAGTTAAAATCCCCCCCCCCCCCCCTCCCCCCCTCCAAAAAGCTCGCCTTAAGTCAAATTCCCCTCTTTGAATGTCACAAATTTATTCCCAAAAGCTGGGGCCAAGGGTTTAGCCCCCCCCAAATTTCAGAAAATAGCGGCCAATCCCAAAAATTTTCTAAATAAAAAGTGTGAAAATTTTAAACCCACGAAAATTTGGGGTTTTTCCATTCAGTTTCCCCAAAAAAACATCAAAAATCCAATTACTAATCACTTTCGAAAGTGAAAAATTTCCGTTTTCATGTAAAAAAATACAGCAGTTTCTCCACAATGGGAGTAAAGTGCTAAGATAAAAATGGTTTCCAAATCACTTTTTTGTTCCAAGAACTGGAACGAAAACTTCATTACGAGCAGTGTGAGTCTTATGTCTGGTCTGAAACATTCTGTACCCAACATCTGACAAATCTTTTCTCATTTCCTCAGCTAGTTCACACGGGGACTTCTCTCCCTCTACGCCTTCAGGAGCGCACAAGCAGTCGAAGCTCAGCATCTCTTTCTGCCACGACCAGGTAGCGTTCAACAGTGCCCTTTCCTTGAATTTGCGAATGAATGCTTCCTAATGTTTCTCTTGTTATGTTTAACACTTTGCAATCTTTCTTATAGCCATTCCCTTCCCTGTGAATGAGAAATCACCTCTTCTCACTGTGTCCTTCCTTGACCATTCTCTTGCCTTCACCATGTTTTGAAACCACACAGAAAACCATAGAAATGTCTTAGAAGGAGCTAGTATCACGAGTCATTTTTAAAAGCTGCCTAATTTTGGCTTATTA